AAAAACAGATAATTTTTTAATTCCATATATAGCCCCTTTGTAAACGCTGTTCACCGAAGTCTATTTACCAACATAGATATTACACATAAAAAATACACGCAAACATTGGAAATCAGTTTGTGGCAGGCAATCACTTTTTGGCACAACACCGGCAAAAGTGACCCGAAATAAGCACTCTGGTGGAGTTACTGTGTGTGTGTGTGTTTATAAGTAGTTTTAAACCTGATCCACAAAACAACATAACAGTAAAAGAAGTCAGTGCAGGAGCAGCGGCTTCGCTCTTGCGCGATTCATTTGCAGTTCGGACGCATAGGTGTGAACATTTTCTGCCCTGATAGCAGCTGGGGGAGGACTATCCTCCGCCCGTGAGCACTTTGGAACGGGCGAGGTGCCCCTGGCAGCACCCGCTGCTTGTTGAGAGTAAAAGCAATACCCGCTTTCACGTCAAAAAGTCACCATCAATAAGTCTCCAATAACACCAGAAAAAGTTGCTAGTCGCTTTTTAGAAAAAAAAAACAGTCGCTAAGGGGTCTGAAAACTCGCTAAATATAGCGACAAGTCGCTAAATTGGTAACACTGCAGCCAATCACATTGGCCATATTTGTCACATGACGTAGGAGTCCAGTAGAGAACGTAATTTAACTCTTTCTGCACCGCTGGGTGAACGAGACGTTGACAGATCGTTTTTTTCTTACTATCGGGTTTGTTTTTCTTTACTCGAAGAGATCAAATTATTGGTGGGGACAATTCAATAATCGCTGGATATTGGTGGGGACATGTCCCTTCCGTCCATGCCAAATCTACGCCCTTGAGTTCAACACAACTGTATTATCATTGTTATCGTTATTATTGTGTAATTTGATTTGATTTATTTGTTTTTACCACTGCTTATCTGTAACTTCCTCCCTTTGCAACGTGTCGCTGTTTGCAGTTGCTACAATTTTTCTTGACAGAACTTTCCAGAAATGTAATTATTATTTCATATTATTTAATAAAAATAAATAAATAAAAAAACGTCTAAGACTAACAGTATATATTCAATAATCCCCATTTAAAATAGCCAGGTTAACTTTAAAATGTATATATTTTTACATTTATTTATTATTTATTCTTATTAATTAATTTAATTGTGTGTGTACTTTTTTATTATCCTTTGCTGCGTAGGTTATTTGATAACATTCGCCAGCAACGCATTTTTGTGCACTTGAATAAAATAAAGGAATAAAGGAATCCAGTGAAGGGGAAGAAGTTTCTCTGTGTGCTGCAGTGCGCAGGGTCACTTTTAGAAGGAGAGGCTTTTCCGGTCGGTCTCGCTCTCCCTCTCTCTCCAGGCTCAGGGGGCGTCCTTCTCAGGGGAAACTGTTGCGCTGTTTCCATTCGCTGAAACCATAGGTGTGTCGGGGTGTGCGCTTTCTCTCTGCCAGCTGTCAGTCATGAGGTCACTTCCTGCGGGCGTGAGCACCATGGCTCTGCTTTGTATGGACGTGCTGGGGGATTTTTGACAGCGGCAGGACTGCGAGGGGAGCCAGCGAGGACGCGGTCGGTGTCTGGGGGACGTTTTCGCTCCTTCATCGCTCCTTTTCTCGCTGTTGCATTGAACGCTTCCCAGCCCACCGAGATATTTCCGAAGATATGGCGCCGACGTTTTGCGCTATCTGCTGTAAGGTATATACATATATATGTATGTCTTCATGTGGCCTTTTATTTATAAGTCCTCTTTGCAGCAGCTGACATTGACTGTGAGGGAATGCTGTGTAGCGCAAACTGCAGACTAGTGCACGTCTCCCACTTTGACACTCTGCCCAACTATTATATGCACATTATTAGTTTGCAGTCACAGGGAGGGGGGGGAAGGTAACAAATTCCCCCAAGAATAATGGTAATGGAAGGAAGGGAAGAAGGGGAAGTAAGCTGTGTTTTTTTTTTTTTTTTAGCCTGCACGCCTGCGCAGGGAGAACAGCTCTTCCTCATCAATAGGCATCATCTCCCTGTGATGTAAGCTATTCATTTAGTTCAACACAACGGCCTGTTTATTGTCCTGTTTGCACGGCCCATTTCTAAGATAGCTGTTGAAGAAGCAGAGATTGCTCCGGCTGTCAGAGCAGTCCTTTATAAAGGCCTCTGCT